ACGGCACATAACAACAACAACACCCACTAGTTTAGCCTAATTAGAAAAGTTTCTTCATTAAGCATTGCATTCCTGTAAAGCATTATCAAATGGACAACAGCTACTTACAAGGATGGATGAGAAGCTTAGGGGTCAGTGAGTTTGTATTAACGATAGTGACAAAATTTGGAAAAAGTTGTCAAAATAGGTGACATGAGGGGAGCTCTGGTGTCCTAGTGGCAAGAAGCTGCACTGCAATCGCAGAGGTACGGGTTCGAATCCACCAGATGCTCTGCTAGAGAAGGAGGGGCAATCTCCTCCTATACCAGTGAGATCCCATTTGAAGGTACACACACAAAAAATAATTTTTTAAAAAAAAAAAAGGTGAGACAAGGTGACAGTAACCAATGTCACTTAATTATACATGTAGATATTGTTGAAGTGATATAGCTTCTGTTGTGTATATTTTCACACACATACAAATAATAAAGAAAAAGCTCTACTGAATAAATGATCAAACAATCCTTGTACTCCTTATTTATCCTTCACAAGTAAGTAAATTTTCCTCCAGGAAGCCACCATCCGATACTCCCATCATGATTCCTCGGGTTGTCCCCGCTGTGAGCTCACAGCCCCTGCGCTGTCTCAGCCACAGCACCTCACACTGTGCCATGACCTCATGTTTGCCTCTGCTCTGGGCCACACCCAGCTTGAGCGAAGAAGCTCTATGAGGCTCTCGGGTCTATCTACAGTGTCTAAAGCCATAGGTGGCATTACTAGATATTTAACAAACCCTTTCCAAATGCATTTTGTCCTCTTTTCCCCTTCACTTACCCCTTCTTCTAAAATGCATTCCTTTGGCTAATAAAGCTGTGTGCGTATGTATACATTTGGAGTATATCAGAAAACACTGTATGAATAATAACATAGTATCTATAAATACAGAAACTACAAGAGAAAGAGGGAATTAGGAAAAAAGAAAAACTGCTAAACCAGAGACCCAGGAAGGTTTTGGCTGGGAAATTCCAAGCAACAGAGACAACGGTTTGATGTGCCGCTCCATGGCCACATGCGAGACATAACTGAAGAATGGCCTGAATTTCCCTTTTCCTTCTGGACCTTATGTCAAAGTTATCATCACACATTCTGAAAAGAAACTGTCAGAATCCTTTATCATCTTCACCTTCCCTGATAATGGCAACATTAGTCATATTTAAAACCAGGAGTCAGAGTGGACAGGGGAACAGAAGAGGGGAGAAATAAACACCCCAGTGCTCATCACCTCTCCACCACGGAGTTTGGTCTGGGGTCATCATCTTCGCCTCCAAAGAGAAGATAATAAACTGCAGGAAGCTTGAGGGCAATCTCCTATGTGCCTCACTCCAGCCCCATAGCGGGGTCTCCTGCACACTGGCCTAGTCAGCACCCACTGAATGAGCGTGTATGGTGAAGTGAAGGGGCCGAGTGGGAAGAGCTTAGGCTTGAGAGTCAGTGTGACCTGGGCTCCTCCAGCCTTAGTGGTGGAATTTGGGGTAAGTTGTTTAACATTCAGTTTCCACACTGGAAAACAGGAGTTAAAAAAAGGAAACTACTCAGTGCATGCTGAGGACTGAAGTGTGAGCCTCCTGGCACCATGCCTGGCACAGGTAGGCACTTGGTAAACATGCATGTCTTCCCCACTTCCTGGTTTCTAGGCTCCTGAACCCACCTCTAACATCACTGCCAGGAATTCAGAGCTCTGCAGGCAGACTCACTCCCCACCTCACTTGCTCCTCTCAGCTGGGCTTGGGTACCCAAAGCTGAAGTGAGAACACAGAGCCTCCAGGGGCACCTCTTTTCCACCCTCTCCCACAAGTTCCAGCTCAGTTCTGCATCATCAAAGCCCTTAGCTCAATGTTGGTCTCCCAGCAGCCCTCATCTCCTAGCAAGGTCTGAGTAAATAAAATTGGGATATGAATTCACAATCGCCTTTTCTTTATTTCCACTTACCAGCTGACAAGTCGGTGAGTTTACCAGTATTTAAGAATTTTCCTAAATCTCAAGCATATACTTTGTCAAGTACTGACTTTGAAATTCAAAAACCAGAAAAAAGTATATGAAATTTTCTTTGTAAAATGCTAACAGCAGGTCAGAAGGTGAAGAGAAATACATATAAATATCTGGATCTATTTTAGTTAGATGGCCTAATCTCGCTAAGTTTATTCAAAGGTTTAACTCAGAGTTTGGTTGATTTCTGAAGACAATGCCAAGAGCACTTTGTAATGGATTGAATTCTATCCCATTTATGTTCAATTTGTTCTTCAAACTGAACTTCATTGGAGTTTTCATAAAAGAAACATCTACAGTGATTCTTACAAACTTTGGCTTTTAAAATGTTTTCTGTTTCTAACTCATTTGTTTCCATTGTCTCTTATTCATCAGATAAAATGAAAATTTTTGAGGCCAAAAGGGGAATTCCAGAGATGGTAAGTCCTGAAAAAGCTTTAAAACAGAAATATTGCTCACAGACAGTAAAAAAGGATATCTGTCGTGCTGGCTTGTCCCCAGACCTCCGATGAAGAGGGTGAAAACGGTTCCTGGCTGGCCTCTCCACCAGCCCGTGATGGCGCGTGCCCCGGACATTATCAGCTTGATGAAATGACGGCTGCAGAGAGAAAGAAAGAAGTGTTGGCGTGACCATCCACCATCTTGGAAACCAAAAACAAGTGATAACAAGTGAAAAGATTCATTTTCACTATTTTTAAAAAGAATCTTATTATCGTATGTTAGTGTGCTTTTGGCTGGGGTAAAGAAACTAAAGAGGTTCTTTCTGTACAATCACAGAGCTGAATAATAGCCCTCTTTATAATCCTAGAATGTAGAGTGGTGAAGACATCATCATAGGATGACATAATAAAAGGTGTCAAAGGAGGTGACCATGGATTCATATACCACCTCCAGAAACCAGGAAGTGCACTTAGAATGTAAAACACAGAAAGACCCTTACAAGCATGGGACCCTAACAACTGCAAGGATGTGCTCTAAACACTGTCTTTTAAAGGTTTTTACTGAACTGATAATGTTTTGAAAATTCAGATTTGAGGCATTTGTTGTTGTTCTTTATTGTTGTATACTGTAGAGTTGGAACCAACCCTTAGCTGACCCTCTGGCGGGTTTTCAGAGTCAGTTAATCACAAGGGAGGGGACTGCCCATCCTTCTCCAGTGGAGCAGCTGGTGACCCCAAACTGCGTGCCTTCAGAATTGCAGCACAGCTTCTTGCCACTAGGCCACCAGTGCTTTTAGTGAAAAATTAAAACATCTCAGTCACACTGGTCCCACATCTCCATGTGGTAACAAAGAACAAGGTGAGAGCAGCTGGTCCCTCCAGTTGGGAGGCCCACTGTCATGGTTTTAATCCTTATACTGGGACCATTTCATTGAGACATTTGAGTTTGCAAACTTTACTTGAGGAAGCAGCGGGTGGAGGGTGGAAATTACGCAACTCTTTATCCTGACCGTGGCATAAAGAAAAGTTAGGCACATATTCAAGATAAATTTATGGCCAATTAATGAAATATTCTTGCTATGGGATTTTGTTAAGGGATTTTAACACTTCTAGGATTGGTGTCTTAGTCCTTGGTATTGATGGGATATTGATTCCAGCCCCCATGTGGATACCTAAATCTGCAGATGCTCAAGCCTCTTATATAAAAGGGTGTAACTTAAACACATCTTCTCATTTATTTTAAAGCTTCTCTAGATCGCTCTGGATGCTTTACTGTATACCCAATTCAGTATAAATGCTATGCAAACAGCATTTTACATTTCCTCCTGAGCCTTTGAAGGATTGCTTTAACCACTTGATTGTTTATTTCTCTCAAACAATTTCATTCCCTGGCTGGTTGAATCCTGGATGCAGACAGACGCTTTGGATAAGGAAGGCCAACTATAATCAGTCTCCTGAGCAGACTACTAAAAAACTGGTTTGCTAAATGTCATTTAATTACTCAAATTTATTTTAATAATTTGAACACCCTAATAAGCAATAACAACAACAACAAAAATAGTACTCTATGAGGAATAACTTAAGAGTCTGAAAGAAAAATACGTGTTATTACTGGTAAGTAAGCTGAATGCAGAAGAGTACTGAATATCCCACGGATTATCAAAAAAACAAACAAGCCTGTCTTGGAGAAGGTACAAAACTAGGGTGCTCTTTACACACAACAATGTTAAAACTTCTCTCACATACTTTGGGCATGTTGTTAGGAGAGGCCAATCCTTAGAAAAGGACATCGTGCTTAATAACGTAGAGGGTCAGTCAAAGAGGAAGACCCAACAATATGGGTCAACACAGTGACTATAGCAATGGGATCAAGCACATCAGGGTTGGTGAAGATGGCACAGGACAGGGCAGGATTCAGATCTGTTGGTCACTGGGTCGCTACGAGTCACAGTTGACTCAATGTCACCTAACATCAACCACAGAGCTCAAAGGTGATCTTGGATAATACAGCACACAATTGTAGGACTATTATATATTTTAAGACATTTGTTAATCCAGAGGGTATATGCCTATTATTATCAGAAATGACCCTTGAACATTAATAATCAAAGACTAGGTGAGTTATGGGATGACATCAAGCCTATCAAAGAAGAGTTATCAAGTCCATTTTGAAGAAAGGAAAAAAGTCATTAAAAAGACAAGGAAAAAAGAAAAGATCAAACAAATGTCAAAAGAGAGTCTGAAACTTGTTCTAGAATGCTTTTTATTGTTAGAAATACCATCAAGTATGACTCATAGCAACCCCACAAACAGCAGATCCTATCCCCGTCCTATCCCTGTGCCATCATGACAACAGGATATACTCAAGCCATTGCTACAGTTACCATTGTCAATCCATCTTTTTGAGGTCTTCCTCTCTTTCCTCAACCCTCTACCTTTCAAAGCATGATGTCCCTCTCCAAGGAACAGCTTCTCCTAGAATGTAGGGAAGTGAAAACAAATGAAAGAAATGATTAAGTAAAAGAACTATGGAGAAGAAGATTTCAAAGGGTGGTTTAAGAAAACAAAGTAATGAACTAAGGTGAAATGTGTTAAGACTTGGAGTTTAAAAACCAATAGGGAAGATCATTCTCATTATTTCTCAAGCTGAACAAACTAAAAAAATATTTCAATCTTCAATTTGGAATGTGGAGGGAATCTAGGAGAAAAATGCTGAATGATGCAAGAAGCATTGAAAAAAGATAGAAGACATACATTGAGCCACTGGACTAAAACAAAGTGATTAGTGTTCAGACCTTTCAGGAGTCAGTGTATGATCAAGAACCAACACTATTGAAGAAAGTAATCCAAGTTGCACTGAAGGCATTGATGAAAAACAAGGATACAGGAATTGACAACATTTCAATTAAAATATTTCAACAAACAAATGCAGCACTGGAGGTGCTTGCTGGAATGTGGAGAAATCTGAAGGGCAGCTACCCAGCCAAGCAATTGGAAGAAATCCGTATTTATGCCCATTAAGAGAAAGGTAATCCCATAGAATGTGGAAATTAATATACATGCAAATAAAATTTTGCTGAAGACAATTTAAAAAATGGTTGTGGTAACAGGGATGTGCCAAATTCAGCAGAGGATGCAGAATGAGAGCATTCGCTGTTGCTATCAGTGAATCTCTGCTAAAAGCAGAGAATCCCAGAAAGAAAGACGCTTATCTGTATTTTCTTGACTATGCAAAGGCCTATTTATTATCCATAATAAATGATGGGTAATGTGAAAAATGGGAATTCCAGAACACTTAACTGTGCAAGTGGAACCTGCATATAAACCAAGAGGCAGTTATTTGTGGTCAAACAACACGAGTTTAAAATCAGGGAAGATGTACATTGAGGTTGTATTCTTTCACCATGTTTATTTAGTCTGTGTACTGAACAAAACATTTGAGAAGTTCAAATATATGGTGAAGAACATGGCATCAGGATTGGAAAGAGACTCATCAACAACCTGGATATGCAGAAGATATTGCTTGGCTTATAGAAAACAAAGACCTGAAGCATGTACTAATGAAATCAAAGACTGAATCCTTCAGTATGGATTACATCTCAACATAAAGAAAACAAACATCCTCACAACAGAGCCAAGAAGTAACATTAGGATAGAGAAAAGATTGAGACTGTCAGTGATCCATAATTAACGTTGATGGCAGTAGCAGTCAAGGGACATACATACTGCACAGGGTAAATCCCCTGTGCGTTCCATGGTGCCCCCAGGAATAGAGCACCTCCATGAAGCTTTCAATGGCTCAAGTCTGGGAAGGAGATTGCTAAGCCTTTTGTCTGGAGCACTTGTGGTGGATGTGGACTCCCAAACTGCTGGTGAGGGGCTAAGTGTATTTAACTGCTTGTACTACCCGTGCTCACTATGGTAATGCTTAAATGTACATGAAAATACAGAACTGTCACTCAGTCTTAGAGAGCAGCTACCACCAGACTGGAAGCCTACACAGTTGTCTACACATAGAAAGTATTTTAAAAAGCAGAAAACTCTTGAAATGTCTTCTAAATCTCCTACTAATATTAACTATTTATACTTGCCTCTTTTGCATTGACCCCTGCTGGCGCCAATCAAGCATTACCACCTGGACTCTCTCTTTCAGGGGATAGCTTCGGCTGAAATAGAACCTTTTCTTCTTTTCCTTACACTGACCCATTCTCAGCTTTCCGCCTTTGTTACAATTTGTCTTGATCCAAACTATATTTGGCTTTAATTCACATGGAATAGTAAAGAAGTTAGAAGAGTTTCTCAATCCAGCAGCTGGGAGTTAAAGGAGGTTTAAGGGCAAAAAAAAAAGTCTGTTAAACACTATAGCTTGGTTCTTGGCTTAAGTCTCTGGGTCCCAAAATGGACACACAATTTTTCAAAGCCCACCAAATTCTAACTTCTTGCTTGCTGAGAGTTTAAACTCTGCATTTTTTACAAAATAAATGTAGTAAATGAGCTTTTCTTTTGTTAATACTTTTTTTAAAAAAATACAGATTTATTGAATTTTTTTATTTTATTATTTTGTGTGTGTACCATCAAATCAGATCTGACTGGTACAGGAGGAGACTGCCTCTCCTTCTCCAGCAGAACATCTGGTGGATTCGAAATGCATACCTCTGGGATTGCAGTGTAGCTTTTTGCCACTAAGCCACCAGAGCTCCCTTTTTAATACTTTGTTGTTGTTGTTGTTGTTATGTGCCAAACAGCTCACAGCTGACCTCCAGTGAGTTTCCAGAGGCTGTAAATCACACAGGAGGACACGCCCATCTCTCTCTGAGTAGCTGGTGGATTCCAGTCACCTGCCATTGTGTTGGTGGTGCAACTCCTTACCCTGCATGCCACCAGAGCTCCCTAAATCAGCTTTAAAACATTAACACGAACACAAAACCTCTGCCACCCAGAAAACCACATGTGTAATTTTTTCTGTGATTTTTCAAGTTTTGTCCTTATGTCGATTTTACATGGTTATACTGAGTACACATGCTTCTGTGATGCATTTCTATACTTAAAATCCATTCTAAACAAATTTCTATAACCGACACAATCCTTTTATTTATTAATTCAGCACGTGCATACATTTCATTCTAATGTCAATCAGGCCAGACAGAATTTCAAAGAA